CCCCCCCCCCCCCCCCCATGGTGGCCATGGTGTTTACTCCGGGGCGCCCCTCTCACCCTTGTCGCAGGACGGGTGGTCACACCCCCCCATGTTCCCGTTCGAGACCGGCATGCGCAAGCAGTACAGGGGCTAGTGGGGGTCCACCGGAAGGGTCCTCGTGTGAGGCGCAACACAAGCAGAGGGGAGGGGAACACACCACGACGGACAAGGAAAGGGCACAGCGTTAAGAGTCTGCTCAACCGACAAACAACATGAAAAGCAAACGTGTGCGTTGTCGTGCGTTGTCGTGCGGGGGGCAATGAGGAGGGGGGGGGGGTGTACTCATAGTCTGCATGCCGTAGTCGTTAGACCATTGACCTCGGGGGGGCGGTGAGGGGGAGAAGAAAACCACGCGGAGCCGCAACACCGCAGAAGAACCGCACTTCCACGCTCGGACGGCTACAAGCAGCGGAACAGTGCGTCCGCGCCTTAATCGCTCTTCTGTTTCCCCACTTGCGACCAGGAGCGCACGCTTCTTGAACATACAATGCTCACCCGTTCCGAAAGGCTGAGGCCCAACCAGTCAGAGTCGGGTTCGTCGGTTTTCTCCGCCCCCGACCGGCGGCGTTTCCTCGACGGCGGGGTCGCGGAGACTTCGCGCGGGGGTATTAAACCTTGTCGACGGAGGTCAGTCTGACACGCGACGAAGAAAGGAAAGAGCACCAGCAAGGGGTGGAGAAGCCGGGGGGGAGGGACGGGGGTGTAGCTTAGTTGTGGAACACACATGAAAGAGGGGAAATCGCGTATGTAACAGGCATCTTTGTTGTGCAGCGACACAGCGCACAACGGTCTCGTGAAGGATAGGCACGTTAAAAGCCCAGCACGCGTCAACCACGTGCTCTGTACACACGTGGGCTACGATTGGCTGCGGGGTGCGGCAGACAAAACAAAAACAGCACGCTGTTGAAGTGGTTGCGTTCACGATTGCTGAACAAAAAAAAAAAAAGCTCCGCAGGTGCACGGGGAGACAATCACCAGACCATGCAGAGACTACACAGCGCACCCGAGGGGAAAAAGGTGGCGTTTAACGGATGCGTGCGTACGCAACAGCTTTTACAGGTATGGTTCACAAAGCTGCGCCACGGTCCTGAGAACGAAAACGCTCGCCACCAAAAATGCATTCACAAACACACCCTACCCTGCCCCATCTTTCCATTCGCCGCACACTTTCAGCAGTACGTACCTCCATACGACCGAGGTCCGCATCGAGACGACGGATGTTCACGTCCAGCCGGTCGTAGGCGTGCTGGGCCAGGCGCCACTTCTCGTCCGCCATGCGCAGTACGAGGTCGATGCGACTGTTGATTTGGTCCTGCATGCATGCACACCCACCCAGCCAGCCGTCCGTGTACGCGAAAAAAAACGAAGGTGAGGAAAAAAGCAACCTGGCCGTTTGCCAACAAGCCGAAATTTCAGCCAGAGAACCATGGAATGGCCTATAGGGCAGGGGTGGACGATTCGCGGTGACAATGAAGGGGTGCTTTTATTCAGCCAAGGCTTTGCAAACTGGAACATCCTGTACCCGCACTGAACAAATAAAAAAATCAATACATCCACTGGTGCCAAAACAGTAGTACCACAATTGTTTTACCGCCTACCGTAGCTCACACAAAAGCGAAAATGCGCAACAAGTGTGCGTCTATAGGTGCGAATGTTGACGTTCAACGTAAAGACCACATGGCCTTTCAAACAACCAACACAGAAGAGAGAGATATCAACACCGGCGGACACACAGCGCACACCGAGCTAGCCCGGCCTCGCCCCGAACACCCCCCCCGCTTCCTTTCAGACACAGGTGGTCTTGTCTTGTTGAAAAAGGAGGTGGGGATCGACACTCTCATGTACCACGCTAACTGCATACATAAGTCCACAAGACGTGTTGTACACCCACCTCGAGCGCCCTGATCTCCGGGGTACGCCAACCGTCCGGCACCGGACCCTCGGTGGCGCGTGCCTGTGGTCGAGTCTTCGGTGCTCCCTTCTTCGTTCGGGATTTCTATGCGCGTAGAATAAGAGATTGAATGCGACGATCAGAAAAAGAAGCGAAGAGTGTATACCGTAAGAGGGGGGGGGGCGGGGGGCGGAGGAGGGGAGGGGAGAACAGCGTGCGGGAACGGACTGACGAGAGAAAAAGAGGAGCATACAAAACCGCACCCGCAGCTGCCACCAATTGCACGCGACGACAGCAGTTTTCATGCGGGGTAGTTGGTCTTCATCTGCTCTTCGTACCCTGCTGAGAATTTGACAAGAAACAAACAGCAGTAGTGTGTCCGACAAAGCTATGAACTCGTGGCTAGCTTCTCTCGAGCAGCTATTAATATCTGCGGATAGAGATGAATTCATTATGTCCGTGGATAGAGATGAATTCGTTATGTCTGTGAATAGAGATGAATTCACCCATGGTGTTTGGTAAGAAAAAAAAAAACACACACACACACACACAAGGTGCTCTTGTTCAAGACGTCACATCTACTTCGTACGGTATATGATAGACCGGGTACTTCCGACCATGTACCTCTGTACATGAGTCAACGTTCAAAAAGCACCTAATGTTCGTTCCAGACACCGAAACTTGCATCCTTGCACGAGGTTACGACACCGACGGGCGAAAATTTTTGTGCCTTCCTGTTCGCAAGCAAAGTTGTCGGTTGTCGGTCTAGCGTCAAGTTTGTCAAGCATCAAGGGCTGTCTGTCAGTGGGGTCAAGTTGCGTCCACCGACAACTTTGTTCGCAAGGGTATATACATCGTATAAAAAAAGAAACGTTGTACGCATACGCATATTTTCCCCGAAACCCAGCACAATCGTCGCCTGTAGTTGGTGAGATCTCTACCATCTTGAAGCGGTCACCTACTTGTACAGCGATAGGTGGAGAACTCAGCGAGATGAACATATTGCGCAGAATGTACTTGAACGCCCTCGTAGAGAGCGCCCCTTGACGAGAAAAAATTCTGAGCCTCTCCCCGCCTCTTGCACTGAAGGCCCTACAGTATGCCTTGTACGCACCGAAGGCAACAAACATCGCATCTTCTGCATCATCATCATCATTTTATTTTTTCTGGCTGACCCCAGCCCGGACGGAGCTCTTCACCTACACACAGGCTGGCACGAGTTTAATGTGAAGACAACAACAACAACAACAAGAAGGCTAACAAGCAATGCACCCGTAGGGCCAAGACCGTGCTATCCATCGGTGGCAGCAGTGGGGATGGCTTTAGCAACTCGACGAGGGTCGGGATATTCGCGGAGACGAGAAGAAGCACACCGCCGTCCTGATGTATTATTCTCGCTGTTGTTATCACAAGGTAAACTTTGATTTATGACGAGGCGACCTGCCCAGCAGCAGGCTTGTGCCGGTACTGGTGCTCCAAACAAAATAAAAAAATAAAATCGAGGGAGATCGAGGGAGACGTTGGTCGGAGACATCGAACGCCAACTTTGAAAATTGATTTCTTCGTACACACGACGAGAGCTCCTCCGCGCTGCGTGCATCGGATTGGAGGGGTGATCTTAACGGTACAGAAGCAACAATAAGAAGACACGAAGACAGCCGTACCATTGCCGGTTGCGTTTCGCGAAGCGCAACTGATGACGCATCAACCTGCTGCTGTTGTGGAAGTTGTGAACAGCAGCAGAGGGCCCGATGTGTGTGCGTGCGGTGGAGAATTTGAATGGAGAACATTTTAATTAACAGACCGGCGCTCGCCGTGTTCAAATATAATGCATTTGCAGCGAAGCTGCAGTGTCCCACACACCTTTGCTCTACCAGTGCGGGGAGGCTGGCTTTCACCGCCACTGCCGCCATCACCACTGCTGTTGCTGCTGTCGAACTGTGCGTAGTACCGTTGTCTCGCCCTCGCCACCTCGCCGATGTCGCTGTCGATGAGGGCGGAGATGGACTGCACGCGATCGTCCAGCTGGCCTATCGAGGTCATCGTCTCGCGCAGCTTCTGGGGGAGCTCGCCGACGGCATCGAGATGCTCCCGAAGGTAGTGACTCATGGCGTGTGAAGACTGACAACGACAAACAGATTGCAGGTAGAGGGTCGGTTGTGCCCTGTGGCGATGATGCGGATGGACATATGTGTGTATGGACATCTGCGGACATCATGTGAAGCGCCCGTGGATGAAGGGTACCCCACATAGCGCTATCTGTTGGTCCCCCTTCTATGCCGCTTCTCGCGCTGCTGCTCACGCTGCTGCGGGTTGCCCTTTCCTCCGCAGTCAACGTCAAGGGGACGCCGACCGGGCTGGTACGCTCGGAGAGCATCACCAGATCCCTTTTCAACTGTCTGGCCGTTCCACGAACGCCTGCTGGAGAGAGCAAGGACAGATCGCTACAACCGCTACCTTCAACCTGCAATCTGGTGAGAATTGAGAACGTGGTTCCCGGTTCCAGGCGACGAAGTGAAAGAACGTTCCGCAGCAGTTGCTTTACGAAAGGAAGTCAACTGCGGCAGGGTTTACCAACACCCCACGCGTGCACAGCCCAAGCGTTAATCTTGGTACGGCTTAATTCGTTTGTGCCTGGCTGTAGTCGGGGAGAGATTTGTCCGGTTGAACGTGTGCGCCGCGTGGCAGGACGTGTGTGAAATATGCATACATGCACGAAGGACGCGACTCGTCCTGAACTGCAGGTGCAACCATCTGGTTCACGTAGTCTAGATAAATAGTGTAGCCTACCCTCTTTTCTACGAAAGGTCAGTACACACGGCAGGGTTCTCCGACAGCAGTGGTTGTGCATAGCGGCGAGCGATCCATCAACTAAGACGCACACCGCGCAGGTGCAAGGCCAATTAAACCTCCCACGCCTTCGGCGTCTCTTTTTGTCAAAATGCTGAGTTGTATTGCATCGGTTTGTCCGCCAGCATGTACATGCTTACAAGCAGTGCTATTCAAGCCACGAAAAGGTTTTGCTTTTATGCACCCTCCAACATTGACTCGAAACAGCAGGTCAAGAGAGGCGTGCTCGAAGGAAGAGCAGCGTGGGTTTCGATAATGGTCGCGGAAGATGGCTCTGGTCCCGTCAAGGTTCCTCCGGTAGTCCTGGTGAAGGATGCAGCGGTAGCACCAGCAAGTGGCAACAGCGGCGTCGCCCGAGGGGCACGAGAGGAAGAAGCTGGAGCACCAGCACCAGCACCAGCACCAGCAGAAGGCAAAGGTGTTGCAGCACCCCACACACCTCAAGTCTCCAGCAAGCACTGGCGAAAAATCAGGAGTGCCGTGGTTGCTCTCGCTGCGTTTCGAAGCCGACGGGTGAGCGCCTGCATATACCTGCGTTACATACATGCACTGTTGTGAACCACCTTTTTTTTTGTCGGCGGCGGCGGGTAAAGCACTAATTGGCAGGCCAAAAGGTCACCGTGTCCCGCCGAGACACGAATGTCGCTTGCCACGTTCCGTTTTATGTAGCTTGCGTAGGGAACAAAGAAGTGAGCCGTGCAGTAAGTACTTCACAAAGCAGTTATGAGCTGGAATGCGGTTCATGAACCGTCTTTTTTACCTGTCCATCTGGACAATCCGGGTTGTGGGTGAAACCGCCAATCTGACCCTTCTGGCTACCTGGTAATCAATGCGGGGCGATTTTCCTGGCTCCGTGAGGCGATGGTAAAGTAGGAACAAGCGCCGCTCACCTGCCGCTGGAGATAGATAACACGCCTGTGTGCTAAGGCTACGACAGGAACACGAAACACGGCCTCTCTCGCACACAGCAATTCAGCCACACCCTGGCACGTGCCCTCTCAAAGGATTATGTGGTTTAACGTTGTTGAAGTGCGGAGTGCGGACGAGCAGACGTGACCCTGTCAACCGTTGTGCAAACACGCATCATTCGATTCATCCGCACGGCTACTGCTGTACTGCTGTCGTCCCATCGGTATAGTCACGGTTTCTCGAACGCCGCAAGCTGTTAACACAGAGAAGTGGTGGATATGGGGTGTGTGGGGGGCGAGAGACGAGGGCAGCTTAAGATTGCTACGGACGACGTAGTTTAGAGGGAGGTTTGGAGCACGCGCGTTTGCGTGCAGGTGTCTCGGTACAAAACTCCCTTTACCTACCCGCGGCGGGGAAGAGCTAGGCGTCGGAGAGAGACCTCATGTGAGGTGTGAGGTTTCTGGCCCGCCCTCGTGCGTGGTTAGCCATGTCCCCTATGTCGAGCCTAAAGCGATGGCGCCGGCTCGGCACCGACCACGGTATGGGTACACAAGTCTTGCTCGTTGTTGTCGATCAGTCTTCGCTACATAATTGTCTTCAAATGTACGTGGCATCACGCGGCGACCCAATTTTTTTCTAGAGCAACAAGCCGCCAAGGGACGGGGCGTTGTGTGAAGACTTCAACACCTCAACCCATCCCCTTCGACTGCCGTGGTTGCATCTCGAACGGGCAGTCTTTCTTCGATTGTGTTGCTTATTTTCTTATGAAAGTGTTCCTCTAGATACCACACAGGGGATTTAATGCCGGAGGGCGCCACCGATTCCCGTGGGAAGACCACAGCACAACAAGTCCCGTGTCCGGTAGACGCCATAGCCGCAGTGGCCGAGTGAAGGTAGCCTCACAACCTTCTGACACGGGGACGTGGCTTTGAATCTCGCTCGCAGTCACACACGAACTCGGATTTACTCTCACAACAGGCCCCCCCGGCACAAACCCGTATAAGACAGCGATAGTTTTTTTGTGTGTACGCAAAAATTTGACTCGAACGGTCGACGAGGGAAAGGAACGGTTGAATCCTTCTCGCGATAAGAAGCAAGGCAAGCACCGCAGAAGTAAAGGCGGAGAGAACAACATACTCCTGTGTGGCATTCCTCTTTCATGTGTGACACCGGCTGGTGCGTCCAAAAGTTGTACCGAGAGGTGTAAGGACCGATCGATGTCCAAAATACTTCGGATGACAAAAAAAAATAAGCAAAAACACCCTTTGCATCTTTTTACCTTTGCGACATAGTCCTTCGCTGGTGTTGCGTGTCGTTCTGGGGTGAGCGGACATACTTTCACGGGAGGGGACGACGTTGGTTGTTGGGGTCTTGTGTCGCATCGGCATCCAATAATCGTTTTAAGAAACTGTACACAGATCAAACTTTGCAGATAGTGGCAGGAAGACAACCCGTGCGACCCTGCTCGAAGGATCGTTTTCTTTTGAATTTCTTTCTGCCGGTGTTGAGGTACCTTCCGTCACCATCTCGCCCCCGTTACGTACAGACTACATGCGGAACTCTTGCCTTTCGGCCCTGGAAAAGTTGTTGATGGACTCATCCCTCGCCTCCGTTGTGTTGTCGCTACCCGCAACCTATGCTGCTGCAAAGTCAAGTTTTCCTCCCTGTTCTCTATCCGGTACTTTCCCTGTTGCTGGTGCCAGGTTTTTCTTTCGACCTATGCTGTTTCCCCTTCTGCTGTGACTGCCCGGTTACACCCAACCCAACACACGTTTTATTTTTTTTTCGTCGTCGAAATCTGACTGCTGTATCTTGTACACCGCATCCTGCAACCTCTCTCGTCCCATGCACGCACACCCGCACCATGCCCCCCCTCCAGGTGAAAGCGGCGGATTTTGAGCGGATACGAATGTGCGGGGAGGGAGGTTCGGGGTTGGTTTACCTCGTGCAATTGAAGAACACCACCATGTTCTTCGCGCTCAAGGTGCGACAATCGTGTGACGTCGGATTGACCGGATGCTTTCGCCCACCGTCGTACCGGACGGTGTTCGAGACGCATTGCACTTTTTCAACTGGCTGTCGGTTTTTGTCAGGGCTAACAATAAAGGTAGGGAAATTTAGTGCAGGCTTAAGCTCGGCCCTCACAGCGACGCCGGCGGGATTGGGCCTACTCTCAAATCGACACGATAGCGTCACGTCGCCGCACGCGCCGCAGAGGCGCCGCTCGGCCTCCCTCTCCGCGGAGCCCGCGGTACGCCCTCTCTCAGAGACGCCGCCGCCGAGGGCTCCGGGCGCCGAGCGCCGGGCGAGCTGCCCGCGCCGGCGGAACCGCTCCAAACCACGTGGTCGCACCTGCATCGGCACCTCGGACCCCTCCGATCGGGACTGGCAATAAACCGCGTTTTGATTGGGCGGGACTTTCTATCGGTGTACCTTTTGGAACTTGAAGGTATCACAGAACTCGGATCTCGGAACTGTACCAAAACAATACTCATGTCTACCTCTTGTGAAATGGTACCAAGCACTTGCTAGACCTTCATGTGCTGGGACTGCTGTGTAACACTGCTACCTTGCAACGGGCGACCAAAAGTGAGCTAAGAGCTAAAGCTAATGTACTTGCCTACAACCTACAAATTCTCCCGACTTCGAACCTGCATCTATCGTTCTTTTGCTGTACACAACCACCAACGAACCACCGTCCCACTTGGTATTGCGGTGTGTACTTCTGCCTCGTGCACCCTGCTGCCATTAAAAGGGCAGTACTGATATTGCGAGTTAAACATCAGTGGTGTTATGCTTAGTTGGTCAGGACCGGTGGACGCGAGTTGGGGTTGGAACAACAGAACCAAGACACCCTTTGCGGCGTCTGGCAGGAGTTCCCCTTGTGTGGTGGTACATATTCGCGCTGGCTGCGTTATGTTGGATATCAGCCTGCATCTATCTGTGTGTCTATCTTGCTGTCTGACTGTCTGCCTGACTTAACCGTCGAAAGCAGGCCAGCCGGACCAAGTCGAACGAGTACGCGGCGCTTTATTTTTCGCCTCCCCCTCATCACTTTGTCCCCCTTTCCATCCTGCACGTTACTGGTTTCAACGTACTCTCTCTCTCTCTCTCTCTCTCTCTCTCTCTCTCTCTCTCTCTCTCTCTCTTTCTCTCTCTCGCTCTCTCTCTCTCGCTCTCTCTCCCCCTTTCTCTCCTGTCTCCTTGCCATGGCTTATCCTTTTCCATCCGGGGTGCGGGCACGGACACACCGAATCCAAACAGGTCCAGCGCAAGACAGACCTGGAGGCCAAGGAGAAGAGAATAAGGAGGGCGCTCATCGAGAAGGAGGTGCTCGTCGCTTGCGCCCATCCCTTCGTGTGCAGCCTCTACACAGCCTTCCAGGTGCGTGATGTCTTCTCGATTAGCCCGCTCTCTTCACCCCAACCGCCCGGTCGTGGTCTGGCGTGTGCTGCCAGCAGGAAGACCTTCTTGCGCTGCAGGTTGTTCACACACACCACATGTCATCGTTGGGCGTGTGGGAGTAGATTGGCGCTTTCCTGTGTAGCCGTGCTCTTGACTTCCTGGGCCCTGGCCCCCCTGCTTCTGGTCGTTTATTTTTTGTGTGGCTGCAGGACAGCCGTCATCTCTATCTCCTCATGGACTATTGCGCCGGTGGAGACTTGAAAACTCTCGTCAGGTAACCACAACGCCGGCAATGCTCTACCCCCGTAGGGATGTTGCAGCTTTATTGGAGGGCTGCTGTGTCAAAAACACGGGGTGGGTCGTGTGCGGGTACTTGTTGGCGGTGATGGGCCCGCGACGTTTTGCACGTGTCAACAGCAAGCTTTTATTTGTCCCGCATCCTGGGGACCGAGTGCTCAGCCCCACAAAAAGGGATTGCGGGGCACCCACAGAACGTACCCCCTTTCACTTGCTGCTCGCAGTCGGCTGACCCGACGCTTGTCCCGGAGTACTCGCGGTATTCCTTGCCGCCGGTGTTGAACGCAAGTTAGTCGAGTTGAAAACGAACCTGCTTTACTGCCGTTTACTTTTCTTTCTTGTGGGGTTAGAATCCCCCCAATAAAGGGCGGCGTGGAACCCTCGTTATCCACCGCTTGCTGCTGCTCCATTTAGCCGGCCACCGCCTCCCCGCCTCTGCCCAATAACGCGGAACACAGGGATGTTGCGAAACGAGCCCTTACGGAAGAAGAGGCTCGCTTCTACATCAGCGAAATCGTGGCGGCGCTGGAATGGGTGCACCTGCACGGATACGTCTATCGGTGAGACAGCGGAAAGACATTGTGTGCACGGTGGGGTTTATCGAGGCGATGTCATGCTGCCGCGCTGTACGGCGAGAAATCAAACCAGCGCTCGAGATGCGGAACACCGTCACACGGGTTTGTGGTAGTACGGTGATGTGTTTCATGGGAAGCACTGGGTGCGAGGGGTTGGTTTGCCCTTGGTCAGTCCTGTGGCTGACCCAACGGAAAACAGATGCCGGCAGCGATGACAACATCATGTGGGGCCCTCTGCCAACGCCACGGACGGCCCGCTGCCTTGCTCGCGATTGGCGAAGGTCCCTGATGGCCGAATCGGTCGCTTGTCTCCCTTTTTTTTCTCCAATATCGGTTTGAGTGGCGACTCGATTGAGTTTCCACACTCACCGACAGCATTGGTTTGCCAAATATCACGTGATTCGACCTTTTGTGACGGGCAGGTCTCCACTTCCACGCACCCGTCTCATGGCCATCTGTCTGTCCCCCGGCTCTTGCGTTAACGCCTCTCCGCTCCCCGTGCTTGGCAGAGATCTCAAGCCCGAAAACGTTCTGATTCACGCGAGCGGCCACATTCGGCTGGGGGACTTCGGCACGGCAGAGCGCGGGAGGTGGGCTGTTGCCGTCGTGGTTTCCGAGCCACCGAACACGCCGTGTCCCCAAAACAAATCGCGACCAGCGGCCACCACATGCCCACCCCACAACGTGTCTCGTAGTGATGTTGTCGTTGCGTCCTTTAGGTCTCTTGGAGCACAGCAGTTGTGCCCTGATGCAGGATAGAAGGGCACTGCTCACATCGAAGGAAAATACTCCTTGATGTGCATACAGCAGTTGAGCGGCAACACGACCGCACGGCTACCGGTTAGCCCTCCCGTAAGTTTCCTTGCCCCGTTTGCTTCCCTCCCTGTACCACTCCTATTGTCTTTTCGCTCGAAGATTCAAGTGTCAGGATGTGCCCGGAGAGAAGCTGTGCCCGGAGGAGGTCGAGAAGGCCCTCGGCGAGACTGGCATGTCTCACGCTGCTACCCCCGACGGTACCGCCAGTGGCGGGCACACGTTTTCCGAGGAAGAGGAGGGCGACCTCGACGAGTCCAACAACATTCACCACGGCGGCGGTGCCGACAACAGCAACGGCCCACCACACGAGGCCGCACGGGCCAACAACAGCAGCATCATCGTGCAGATCGACCCGTTCTTGACGGAAGCCTCGGCGTCGAGCGTAGTACCTGCCGCTGATCCTACGGAAGAAGCGGAGGAGGAGGAGGAGGAGGAGGCTGCAAGCGCCAGCGCCGGCGCCGCTCCTGCTGCTGCCGCTGACCGCGTGGACAGGCTGGTGTGCGCGGACGACGGTGATGATTCGGCGGGGCCTGGCGGTGGATGTGGACCGCCCGTGGGATGCGGCTGCGGGAGAAGGCGTGGAAGGGGGAAATCAGCCCACGGACCGTGAGTGAAAAGACAGGGATACGTAGCCGGCTGGTGCACGCTTTCTAAGGGGAGGGGTTGGGGGGTTGACAGGGTTGTGGAGTGTTAGTGCGCGCGGTTAGAGTGGTGAGGGTTTCTGGGGGTTGGTTGTTGGGATTCAGAGAGGCTGATGGTTGTTCGTTCAGCGAGCCGCGTTGGTCCGTTCCCCGCGGCGTTCTCTGTGCCTAATTTGTTGACGTTGACACTTGACTGCCGTTGCTGAATGGGTTGCTGCTGTGTGTATCTTGTCTGTGACAGTGATGTCGTTGGACCTCTATTTATTGTCTTTTGCACACCCGCCGAACTCGTCGACCTCTGTCGGCTTGTTTTCCCGTTCGCGTGCCCCCCCCCTCCCCTCCTCGGGTGTTCGATCGCCTTCCGACCCCGAAACAGAGCTTCATTATCCGCAGGACCCGGCGAGCCGTTCGCCCAAGGGCGGGGGAGCGTGAAGCTTAACGTTCTCCTCGACAGCCAAACCTTCATTGGCACCGGTACGTGTGGCAGGGTGTCTACTGGCAGTTCTCGCTGCTGTAAATTTTCTTCGTCAGGTCCGCGGGTCCGAAGACGCTGCTCATAGCAAGCGGTATGCCACGGCGGTTGCGAAGTTATGACCTTGCGCAGATCTTGGTCTGGAGGGCACGCCTGTGCCAAACGGGGCGTTTGCTGTACGGAACCCGGGCCGGTAGTTTGGCGACCTTCTGTGTGGTGCTGGGTGGTAATTTTACCGCGCTCCCTGCATGGTGTGGGTCGGGTCTACCTTTCTTCGGAGACGCCGAGCGTCGTGGCATAGTGTTGTGAAGAGACTTGCCATGGAGGCTGCTTGAGCCTGTCGGGTTGCCTGTCGGGTCGATGTGTATGTGCGCTACGTCGATGTACGCGTCACCGCACAGCATCCCTTTGGTGTTCCTCTGAGGCGTGCTTGTTCACGTAGCGAGCCTTACCACTACAAGTCGATCGCGTTTCGCTGTAGTATGTCTTATGCGTCCGTGAAGTGCCTGGCTCGACCCGCAGACCCTCTGGGTTGGCCATACCCTGCACCACCCCCTTCCCGCCGCGGTGGGTTGTAGTCCGTACTGCCGTAGAGCTCTGCCTGCCCCTCTCTGGCGCACGCACACGCTCAAGACCACAAGAGCGTCATCACCATCTATATAAGCAAAACGAACAACGATCGAATGCGCGCGTGCACTTGTTTGTATTGTTTGGAAAATCGATAGCTGACTTCATGGCCCCCGAGATGGTGACGGGCAAGACGGCGCAGGGCACCGGGATGGACTGGTGGGCGCTCGGCGTGATGCTGTTCGAGATTACCCTCGGCACCCTGCCGTTCCACAGCGAGCTCCCCTCCCAGAGCAGCAACGAGGTGTTCCGGAGCATCGTGAACGCGGAGCTCAAGTTCCCGCGGCGGCACAACTTGAGCCGCTCGGCCGTGGACTTCATCCGGCAGCTCTTGCGCAAGGTGTGAGTGTGTAGGGGGGTACTCATGTAAATGCATGCCGTGGTCGTTAGACCGTTGACCTTGCATGCCTATAATGCCGGGACGGAGCGATATGCCGGGATTTCGCTGTTCCAGGCGCAAGGGCGAGCGGGGAGGGGGGGCGGGGGGGGCTAATAGCGGCGTGCTTGTACGCCGGAGGGGGAAGGGGAGACCGGGTGACGCCTTAAGAATATGTGGGGTGCAAAGTCTATTTAGAACGAGCTACTTCGGTTGGTGTAGTCGGTATTTTGGGACCACACCCGTGACGAAAACACGTGGTTTATTTGGCGCCGATAGGATGTGGGATCGGATCGTGTGTGAATTGTATGAACCTGGTTGGTGGTGGTGGCCATTTTCATTTCTCTCAAGAGCCACATGTGCTGCAACTCTCCAATCCTACCTGTACCCACAACGAAGAAATCAACAATCAAACACCGATTCCAATCCAATCCAATCCGAACGAGCAGGACCCCACCGAACGGTTGGGCCAGCGGAAGGGCGTCGGCGAGATCAAGCGGCACCCTTTCTTCGGCAGCGTGCACTGGGCGCTCATCGCCAACTCGACGCCGCCCTTCGTCTTGTCCGGCCCGGACACCCCGGGGTGGCTGGCGTCGATGCGGTCTGCGCCGAACGCTGGGGCTCGGGACGACAAGTTTGCGACGTGGACGTGGATGGTGTGTTGTGTACTTGCCTTCTTTTGATTCTGTTCAAAAGCCTCTTTGTTTTCGCTGGGAAGGCGGTGATACCAGCAGCAGCAAGAATTGTATGCATTAAAGGTGTGGTATATTTGATGGGTATGGCACATCCTCAGTGCATTGTTGTAGAAGGGTAGTAGATGTTCCTCGTCATGGTATTCTTTCGGTGGCTTGAGTTCCTCTCGCGGGATTGTCTGTTGGCTCAGCCGGCCACAATCTTTTCCTCGTTGACTTCTGCCGTTTTTCTTTTCTCTCTTGTCCCAACGTGTTTACGGAGAGCTCGTTGCTCTCTTGCCATACCTACTAAATAGAGACCGCTCCGACTCCCACACCCCCTGCCGCAGGCGACGCAACAGGACGCGCCACGGCCAGGCATGCAGGGCACGGGGGGGCCGGCCATGACCTCGAGCGAAGCCCAAGACTACCTCGACTACGACAGCCCCAGCGGCCGATACAGCAAGGCCGACCTGGACAAGCTGGGGGACGAGCTGGGGATTGCCGCGGGTCCGACGACAGACGCAGAGGCGGCGGCGGAGGCGGCGGGGGGGGGGGCAGCAGCCCAACCCGAGGGCGCTGGGGCAACTTCTACGACCGGAGAGGAAAAAAAAAACGACAACTTTGACGACAGCATGCCTGACATCAGCAGCGGTCCTGTTTTGAAACCGTCGGCGTCGGCGTCGTCGGCCGCGGCAGCCGGCGAGGGGGGTGGTGCTGGTGCTGGTGCGGCCCGCAGGGAGGGCAGAAGATCGAACCGGGCGAGCTTCGACGGGTACGACTTCAACACCCTCCGCAAGGTCGGGTCGCTCCGGATGGGCGTCTCGAGCAACCAAGGCGGGGCCCCGAAGCTGGCCGCCGGGAGGTCGATGGACGCCCAGGGGAATAAACCCCCTTGAGGTGGAAAAGGAGGAGGAGGTGCTTGTGTCGTGGAGTCCGTTTTTTTTATTATTGTCGCTGCCTCGCGTCGTCTTTGCTGTCGCACACGAGGGAGTGCGTTTGCGTGTGTCGTCGGCTCCGTTTTGTTTTTTTGCTTCCCGCGGTTTTGGTTGTGTCGCACGTTGCTTGAGGTTCTGGTGTTACTGCTTCTTTTCGGCGACGCCCTTTGCGTGATTTTTTATTTTATCAGGGGAGAAAAGAGGGATGGGTGGGTGCCTGTTTGTGTGATCGGCGAAGGCAGTCTTGTAACCGTCAACATCGCTGTGCGCGTGCGTGCGCATGTAGAGTACATTTTTTTTTTTGCGCATAAGCATACGGCGACGGCATATGTTGTGTTATTATTGTCGATAATTTGTTTATGCGTCGCGGCAAGAGGAGCGGAAGGCAGGGCCTCCACCGACTTGCACCGACGGAAAAGGAGGGTGTTTTGGTGTGAGTTCCAAGTCGTGCGAGCTTTGGGGAGTACTGTAGCGAACAGATAGATCGATGCCATAGGGGTAGATGGCTTTCTTTCCATCTGCCTTGATTTGAGTCCTCTCCCCGTGATAACGAAAGCGTTTGTCGACACACAAGAAAAACTACTCACTCAAGACGAATCCTTCAACGTTCGACACACGCCACACGTTCTGGGGCATGTAGGTTACACGAAACCACTTTTTCTTTCAAGTTTTGCCGTTGAGGGGCGGGAGCGGCGATAAAACGGGCGGGTGCTATACCCCACCCCCTATTGCCACCACCGATGATGGACTGCCTAAACTTCAGCGTAGCTTTCGATGTGCATGGAGTGTTTCTTGCGAACGACAACGGATGCGTTGGTTGGTGTGTGTGTGGGGGGTGCCTTCCACAAGAAAACGAGCGTCAGATTTAATTCAAGGGAAATAGACACAAGTGGGTATACCCACCCCTTTCTTGGACTAAAGTGGGTACTCGAAAATCCAGCGCGCGCGCACTCCATAGGCGACCCCCAAACGACTCAAAACCCCATTCTGACACCTGGGCGACACAGTAAGGGACCATACACAGCACGGGCATCGTTTTTTTCCACTTTTAGGCACACCTTTGGCCCTAATACCGCCGACGCGCGCAAGGCCTCACCAGAGTGCCCACTTATGTCCGACATCGCGGTGGGTATACCCACCGGCGTCATCGAATTTTTTCATGTACCCACTTGTGTCTGTATTTTGACCCACTTTTTAATTCAATGTGAGGAAACGCTGTCGACCGAATCACTACGCTTGCAGAAAAAGGCAAGCAGCAATACGAGCACGTGTCCTCCTCGCGGGTTGACCTGCTAGATGTGCAAGCAAGAGGTTTGTAACAATATGTAACAATAGCCAAGGCATGAAACGAACAACGAAACGCAGCAGGATAACTCGCGAGAGGGGGAGCGATCCGGTTGGCAGAGTCTCAAATGGCGGAGGGGACTTCTCAACGACGCCTTGCTACGCATACACCAATATTTTCTTTCATCCACCCACTGATTCACCGTCGTCGCTCGCAGTTTCTCACTCTATGCATACCATATATATAGCCCTCGGGCCCAGTCCTCTCAACCGGTTGACCCATCTTACGCGTGAATCGCGGCCAACCAACCAACCAACCATGCGCCTATCGTACCGCCCGTTCAAGAGGCGAAGTCTTAGCATGGATGAGCTACTCCTGCTGTCTACTACTACTGCTACTGCTGTCATCAATTTCTCTCTGCTGCCTAGCATACGCGAACGGGAATACGTCGCGATGAACCACACGAAAGGGCACACAAAAACGCCAGAGCCATGGCATGGTATTGCTGTTCGAATTCGAACATAATAAAACAGACGAGAAGGCAGCGACTACGCTACCCTCGCGAAGCTCGCCGGAGAGCTCTACACGGCGGATCACCCACACACGTGTCACTCAATTCTCTGCCAACATTCTACATCGGCCCGACGGTCGCTTCCGACTCCTGCTAATAACTCCGGACGAAAGATGGACACAAAAACACACGCGTTTTTCATTGGTCAGCCGGTTTAGCGCTGTCGATGCCAACAAGAAAAACACACACACACACACGTCACGTTTGATTGTACGCTTCGGTGCTCGTCTTAAAAAGAGCGCGACACCATAAACTTAACAAGAGTACAGGCCGCAAGAAAGCAAAAAAAAACGCTTGAACGCCTTGCGACGAACTACTGCTGTACCTCCCTCCCCATCCCCCCACCCACCGCCGACCTGCCGAGTACGAGTAGAGCATACTCAGGCCGGCGACCTAACTATACCAGAAGTCATGAAAACCAGTAGATTAGTCAGCGCCGACTATTAAAGTTTAATGGTTTTGATTTCGGCTTCTAAAGACCGTTTCTACCGTGAACATACACACGTAATATTGTATGTACATCAAGAGAGGTATGTAGACCTCCATACAGATCGTAGAGGTCCTCCTGCTGCGAATGAACTGCAAGGTGACTATTTCCCTGTTGGGTCAAGCGGCATAAAAGGCGTGCCTATATACCCCGTACTAAGTACTACACAGCAGCAGTCACAGCAGCAGTGTTGCTGCCGTACGGTCCACCAGCGCATCTTTTTTTTTTTTTCTTAATATGACACAACGAAACCATCTCTATCATAGAAAAGAGTCTGAGACAGATTAGCAATGGATTCAAAGCGTCAGAAAGTACCTGAAAGTCTACGATTTCCCAGACAGCAGATATCTTTCTAAAGGCCCACATGTGAGCGACTGGCTCTCTAGAAATCGGCTACAAACATACCGACCCGACATGTGAGTCTTATCACAAGTATGCTTAAGGCTACCCACTATTATTGCGGTGCTTCGTTGATTGGTACATAAGTCAGTCGGTGACGGCCTACCATACACCCGTCCTGCTGCTGCTGCTGCTGCTGCTGCTGCCTGCTGCTCGGTTCACACAGGGGGCACACCCTCCTCACTCCTCACTCCTCTCTCACGAGACCTGCTGCTGCTGTCGCCTTCGCCACCTTCGCGAGAACCACCGCGTGCAACAGCCGGATTCCTTCACCTCGTTCGCGTCCCACGTCTCGCTGTCCGTCCTCTCCGCCACGATCAAGCTGGTCTGTTTCAACACCTCCGTCGGTTCCTCCCCCTCTTCCTCCTCCTCCTCCTCGCCCCCGGCGCCTCCTCTTTCATCTTCGTGTTGTTGCTTCGGTACTCCATGCGGTGTCGCTGGTTGTTCCACTTGCTGCGGAGATGATGGAGGAGAACTCGCAGAACCGTCGCCTTGTTGCTGTTGCTGCTGCTGCTGCTGCTTTTCAGAGTCCTGCTCTTTTCTCTCCTCTGCACGCTCGTTGAGATGGTGGGACGAGGCGGTGACGCAGTGCTCCTCGTGGTCCGACCTCTCGACTTGGATGTAAGGCATCCGAGCGCTTCCTCTGCTGCTGCTGGTGGTGCTGCTGCTGCTGCTACTGGTGTCGCTGCTCTTGGTTGTTGCTTTCCTAACACACACACGCACACGCTGCCTTGGAAGGGGCCTGAAACGTGTCGCTTTTGTCGAAAGACCCCAGGCAACAAGAGCGGTTTGAATTGCCAAGGGAGACTTATCCTGAGAAGGGCGCCAGGGAATTCATGAACGCAGCGCGTCTGGAACCGGTGTATTCTATGAATCTCAAAACACACGTCGGTTGTGCTCTCTGCTGCGCAACAACCAACAAGAGCTTGTTTTGTGCTGGATTGACAGATGCGGGGTCCACGCGTCCACGCCAACACGTGCTCCGACGGCGGAGCCCCCAAAGTGACAGCAGCGGAACATCAAGACTCGCCGCCCTCACCCACAACAGACAACTGCTCACCGACCGCGACTCTGTGACACGCCTCGCGCTCACGGGCGCGATAAAATGTCACCAACATGCGAAGCAGAGTTCTCTTGGCGGGATGTCCACTGGATGGCGCCTCTGTGGCAGCTTCTCGCTGCATTGGAGCGCTTGTCCAGCCTTCATCCCGTGTCGGTCATAGCGAGGAAGCGACTAGACGTCTCCTTTCCAGACATGGCACGAGCGTGTCGGCTCAGCCTGAAGGCCTTGCTTCCAGGAAAAGCTAGCGAGGCTGTTCGGGACGAAGCGTTGCGAGAAGTTGCACGCGCCTGGTCTCCGATTCTCTCACATTCCAGGTGCGTATCAATAGCGCTGTGTGATTTGTGATTTGTATTCGTTCAGCAAGTAAGGTTGTGCCGCATTTGTTCTCTTGACTCCCGCTGTCAGAGAGAGAGAGAGAGAGAGAGAGAGAGCAGCCTGCATCCAGTAGGGAAAACGTGGACTAGAGGAAGAGCCAGCACCACCGGCGAGGAAGACGTTCGGGGTGTCTGACTGCTGTGGACGCCAGGCCAATTCAGCGTATATGGCTGCCCACACAGGCATTCTTACATTCAATCAGTACGACGTTGAAACAACGCGTTCACGCTCACCCTCACGTAGTCGTCGTGCCTGACGTTACCCTTGCAAAGAACTGATGCCTCCGAGTTCACTGAATAGGTAAAGGAGGGATTGATTTCACTTCCTGGTCAATGGGGTAATTGTTCTTCCGTCTGCTTCCAAAACACGCGTTGCCCTAGACTACATATCTCCCTGTAGGAAATACTGCGCTGTTGAAGCTAGTTTGTTTGTGGGTGCCTCTGGGGTGGGGGAGTTGGAACTCCGGTACTTTTTACGAGCCTAGGTTCATCATCCAGACCTAAAGAGTCACTAACAGACCGTAAAATAGACCTCCAGAACAGCCATGAATCATAGCCGTGTCGATGCGCGTTGCCGGTAATGCTGATGCCAAAGCGCCTTCGAAGCTGATATCGCCACAACGCTCTGGGGCTGCTCTCTGTTCCCTCACAGCAGCAGCAGCAGCAGCAGCAGCAGCCGGAGGAGAGGATGTGGACCAACGCTGGCGCTGCCGGCGCCGCTGCCTCCCGCGCCGATACGCGGCAACAATGGAACCGCCACCGCCGGACCCATTGCTAAGGAGGCGGCGGAGGTGGCTCCGTTCCTATCCGTCCGCACGGCGTTTGACCTCTACCTGAAGGCTCTCGACCTCCCCCGAGGCAGCCTTGTGGTCTGCTCTGCCCTGACTATCCCCGACATGGTGACCATTTTCGAGGAGCACGGGCTGGTCCCCGTACCCGTCGATCTTGACCCGGAGACCTTGGCACCCGAGCCCGGGGCGTTAGAGGCCGAGGTCGCGAGGTGTGGAGGCGGCGGCGGCACGGAAAGCGGCGGCGAGCAGCAGCAGCAGCAGCAGCGTGTGAGGGCGATATATGTTGCTCACGTGTTCGGGGCCCAGGTGGGTGGCGTGCGTGTGGCTTGATCGGACGCGGGTGTGATGGCTGCTTTGGTTGATGCGGCCATTTCTTTGTCACGGAGTACTTAGACCCAGCCGTGGGTAGAGGGGTGCGGTGCCTTTGTCGATACAGAAACCGACAGACGGCAGCTGCGATCGATCACGCGAATGGTCACCCCGTATCGTATCATCAGCTCTCCCTTCGCCCGTCACGTTACCAGCCCCGCCGTGTTTTCCGCGCACATCCCAACTTCTAAGGCTTTTGAATGCCCCCCCCAAATCTCGCCGCGCCGGCCATTTGTATGCCCCCCCCACACACACAACCTGAGTTGTACAGGAAGGAAAGAGAGGATCTCGAGGAGGAAATGAGACAGAGAGGGTGTGACATGGACAAGTTTGGTAAATTAGACAACAGCGAAAAAACGATCGCGATAATTGGGGATAGATGGTGGGCACAAGAGGCCCTAGAGGACGGGGATAAGATGTGCAAGAAATTTTTATGGAGTTTGTGGCAGAAACGTAAAGAGCTCCCAAATGTTGGTGGTGTCTCTAGTAGGTGTAGGAACGGTGCTCCGTCTCGAAAGGGACGCGTGGTCAATGGTCAAATGACTACGGCAAGCAACAAATGAGTACGCCCCCCCCCCCACACACACAACCCCCCCCGGTGTTTGCCATCGGGATTTGGTTTTCGTCGCTTGGCAACGACGTTGTAAAACAAGCCCATTCACTTCGTGAACTCGGCAACCAGGTTACTGTTTGTTTTTTTTACCTCGGTTTTTTCTTTTTTGCGGTTACCATGATGGTGGTCGAGTAGATCGTGTTGTGCGGGGTCGAGAACCCTCACTCCGCGCAAGGGGGATGATCGCACCACGTTGTGTTAAAATGGTCAAGCATCCTCGAGGCAGTTACACAGAGCTTATAACTGTCTCTGGAAGTGAAAGCACCAGAAAATAAATGAATCATACGCAGCTGTCATCCGTACGCAAGGAAGTAGGCACAAGATGCCGAACACCCTTAGCAGGATGCAGCGCACCCTTCATGCGACTCGCCGAATACCTCACGGCGCTTCGCGCTTGGTGATGTGAGAGCCTGGTCCGGTGAGAACCCGGCGTGCTCCGTCCCGGCTTTGTAGGGATGCGAGGTCAATGGTCTAACGACTACGGCATGCACGACTATGAGTACCCCCCCACACATACACAACGTGCCTATTCTCTTTCATTCCACGCTGCAACAACGCCCTGTTGTTCACAAACGATGCGTACTTCATAGGTGGACATGACGCACATCGTGGAGGCCGCTGCTCGCCACGGCCTCCTCCTGTGGGAGGACTGTGCCCAGATGTTCACCGGCCTGGGGGGCTACCTCGGCCACCCCGACAGCGATGCCGCCTTCTTCAGCTTCGGCGTGATAAAGAGGGCGACTGCTTTCGGCGGCGGCATCGCGCGCATCCGTGATGCTCAAGTCCTGTCAGGCGAGTGCTGCAGTCATACGAAGAGTGCCTACGACTTTAGTCTTTTGTTGTTTTCACTCGTGATGTGTGTACATGTAGGCCATTACGACGTAGACGAGACGCCACAGCCTAGCGTGTTGTGTAGTTCCCCAACCGACGGCTGCGGTGGTTATAGTCCTGTGCTCGAGGCGAAGGGTCAAAGGACGTATTTAAACGAACCTGCTCTACTTCCTTGTGGCGGCCGAGCTCTGCCCGTCGGTGTCATGTTGGGTTTCATGTTATCCTTGCAGGCGTTCTCGGCAAGTCGAAGGAGGGAAACCCTTCACAGTTCGTACCTCGCCTCTGGTACCTTTGTTGTTGTTGTTGTTGTTGTCTTCACATTAAAAACCGTTCCGATCTCTCTACCCAGTACCTTTATCTGTCCGTACTGATCAAACGCTTGACCGGTCCTTCTTGCTTCGAATGTCTGCCTTATCTAGCTCGATCTCTATCTGGCTTATTTGTGACACCCGAAGCGGGCGTCTTGTCGTTTTTTGCAGCCATGCTACGGGAGGAGGCCGAATACCCGTCACAGTCCGCTGCGGCCTACCTTCGTCGGGTGCTCAAGTGCTCGCTGATGCTCGCCCTTACGACGCCGCTGCTTTTCGGCATCATCCTCCACACCCTGGCGGTCCTAGGTATCGAGCACGACGAGGTGGGGGCAGCACAGACCAAACGGTTAGGTTATCTGCAGCTGAAGAGTATCTCATTTTGGCTTCTCAACATGGAATACAGCAAGCAAATCTGTGCTCTGCACCCGTACTTTCATGTTGGTTTCGGCGAGATGTGTTGCTGTTTAGTCCCGGTTTGTGGGAACCAAATTTCGTATTCTCTTCGAAACTTTGCGTCGCGCTCGTCGTCGTCGAGCGGCATCGCCTACCCGCTCTAGCTCATGTGTTTTCAACGCGAGTCGCAACTTGGTTGTAGGATGATTTACATAGATTGTGGTGCGCTGCGGTGCTGGCAAAAGCAGGTGGTGATGAAGCTCAGCAAGGGCTTCCCAAAGAAAGGGCTAATGAGGGCAATCAGACACCGGGCTTCCACCCCCTTGCTGCAGGTACATGTACCAGATGCGGACGTTCCTGCTCGCTACACCAGTATGCGGATAGATCAGCGTGGCACCTCTTTTGTCTTGGAGTGCAGAACAACAATGTTTGGTGTTTAGCGTTTTTTTTCATGTGTGGGGCGCTGCCATCTCAAGGGTCGTTCCGAGAGCAGCTGAGTGGTATGGTCGTGGCAAGGAGTAGCCGCCAGGGCATGGTGTTTCCACTCTAGGTTGCTTCAGCTAGGGAGTGGTAGTAGCGAGTCAACGGTGGTTCAAAGAATCCTGTTCCACACACTGCTGTTGTTGGGAATCTCGTGACTGTAAGATGTAGATTTTCACTGATTGGGTCGCTGTGTTCCCTGCCTCCGCCGCCGCCGCCGCCGCTGAGGACACAACAGATGCTCGCCTGGAGAATATCCCGGTATCCCACCGAAGGCGTCGAGATCCGTCTGCGGCACTGCAACCGCATGCTCAGCGTTCTCGAGGCCGTCTTGTCGCAGCGGCAGCGGCAACCGCAATCGCCAAGAGCACGGCCGCCCCGGGAAGGAGGGGCGACTCGAGAAGAACCATCGGCGCTTTCTGTCGGAGAGGGGGAAGAAGGAGGAGGAGGGGTCGGGGCGGGCGACGTTCTGCCGGGTGTCAAGGCTTACCGGCACACGCTCTGGTTGTACCCCGTGATGGTAACGGGGGGTCCCGACAGGGCGAGCTACGTCGTGAGGGATCTCTTGCGGGAGGGGTTCGACGCCACTCGAGCGCCGACCTCGCTAATGCCCATCGAACGGTAAGCATCTTGTCTGGCCTTCTTCCCTCCTTTTGATGATGAAACGGGTGTGCGTGTGTCTGTTCGTGTGTCTAGAACGCGTCGGGTGTTTGTCGACCCTCTTGACGTAGACGAAGAGGTGGGCCGCCTTTGTCGTGAACTTGCGCACGCGTAATGTTGTACATTTTTTTTTTTTTTGTCTTCACTTCAAATCAGCGCTCACAGCACTAGTGCCGTTTACTCCAACCCGTGGTCACACAGAAGAGCCCCTCTCTACCCTCCCCTCCTGCGGTACTTTGCCTTCGATTTTTAATGCGAGAAGAGTTCAGCACTTTCTTCCCTCTGTGTACACACGAACTAGCGCTATCCACTAGGCCAGGAGCGGAAGCGAGAGAAAAACTCACTTTGCAAGAAAAGTTCGCTTACGCCGGGATTCGAACCCCTGACCTGACCTCTAGAAGGTGTCCAGGTTGCCAACTAGACCACCGGGGCGACCGGTTGCGATATGATGGGACGGTGGGAGTAAGGCGTTGGTGCGAGATGATGGGTGTCATCATGCGCTTCCCCCGCCCTCTCACACACACAAATGAACTTTTGGCCTGCCTGGCGACTGACTGCCTTGTTCTGTTTTGCTCGCTCCAGGTGCACAACCACCAAGTACAAGGGCCCCCCTGGCGGCGTGTCGTCGTCGTCGCCGTGTCGCACGCCGAGGTGCTCCGCGATGATGGACTCGTTGGTTTATCTCCCGCTGGCCAACAACATCCCGGACTCTGAGGTAGACAGGTCAGTCAGTCGGTCGGTCGGGTGTAGATACTCAAACTGCATCCTTCCGCAACACACGCCCGGAATCGTGGACATTATTGACGGTTCCGATCCGGGGCTTCGAAGGAGAGCAAAGTAGCTCGTCAACACGTCTGCGGTTGCGAAACGCTGCAGGAGTGGAGTGCTCTCGTGTGCCAGCAGGAAGTCAAGTGGGCGCTACCTTACAGTACACACACAAACAACCCGTTCGCTTCCTGCTCTCCTTTCTGATTGGCAACATGTTGTGGGGTTCACACTCGTAGCAATCCCTCAAGACCCTGATGATGACCCCTTGTATATTGTTTGTTATCTTGATTGTCTCTCAACGCAGCGGCACACTTGCTGACCCCTTACTCCGGATAGACTGAAAAAAGGGGGCGCGGACCTCTCCAGGCAGGGAGGGGCCGCTTTGTCAATATCCCCTTCTTAACAACAATCCAATGGAGTTGCAGTTCCCGCCAGATCAAAACTATCTTGCCTAGCACTACCGTTCAGATCGTTGTACTCAAATCCCAGAGCAATGTTACTTATCGATACACTGCCTGCCGTTGTTGTCAAAAACCTCGCTTACCTTGCGGAATTGAATCTCAGCAGCCCACCCCCAGTGTGCATCAAGCATGTTACGTGGAAATAAGAAGTGGCACCCCGCGTACGGCTGTCCCGTCACGTAATAACGTTTTTCGTGGGCCGTCGCCCTAGACCGTTCCCCGTCCGAGACACATGTCGTTTTTTCGTCCCTGCCACCCGGTGTTTTGCGTTGTCAGGATGGCTCTAGCGCTGGCGAGGTCGTTGTGGTCGTGCGGTTCTTCGGCGGCGCCGAGGGGCGGCAGACTGGACTCATGCGGCAGTCCCGCCGGTGGGCCGCGCAAGTCGGGGGGAAACGGTAGCAGGGAGCGCACCGCGTTGGCCAGAAGCCTTGTGGCCTTTGCGTTTCGCCTGGATGTGATAGCCGTGTCGACGTTGTGCTTGATGGTGGTGGCGGTATCCTTCTTGATTCTGGCGTGGTTGCGGTGACCTATACCTCTCTTCATTGCTCGATAGCATGCTGCTCGTAATACAGAGGGAGGGGGATGTCGAGTATTGTAGAGAGACGCGCTCTCCCCCGCCACTCCTTCCTGAGCCACTTTGGTGGACTTCCCAGGATGTTTTGACAAGACAGCTGTTGTGTTTGTTGGTCAAGGTCGGATTACTATGTAAGGCTAGGGGGCTAGATGACGATCGACTCCTTTCGAACCCTTTTCAGGAAAATGTTGTAGTAGGTGTGGCTTGTTTCTTGATTTCTCTGGACGCGTCACCTAGATGATTGCAAGGAACCGGGGCGTTTGGTCGTTTCCCCAATATCCTCCTATCCCGGACGTAGTTACCATTAGAGTTGTGGAGGGCGCGTCAGTTCTGTCGATAGTTTTAGGGTCATGTTGGTGGAATTCTAGATGTAACTGGTATTACTGTGTACTTGGCTTCCGACTTGCTGGAGTGGTACTGTAGACGAGTTGGTTGTCACCGAGTTCAAGAAGCATGGGGTTATGGGGTTGTTGTTTTAGGGAGGGTGCTACATGTAGGTTTTGGAAGAGCTCGGGCTTGTTTGCTCATCTTCGCTAACCCGTCCTTCATTCGTACATGTAGTCCACGGCTAACTATTTACTGGAGGAACGTGGCTCGCTCGGAATTGTTGTGCACGAGCTGCTCCGATGTGTTCACAGACACGTGACTGCTGTGTCCAGGCGAGCCAAGGTGCTCTGACACTCTCCCACACCACCCGGTGCATACCGGTGGGCGTCATAGGATGTTTCTTTCAGTCGTCGTAGGCGGCCGCTGCCTTGCCCCACCGCGAGCGAGCGACGCGGACCCCACTTACAGCAGTCTTCCCTCTGATTTACTGATTTATTGCGTAGATCATCGCCGTGACAGCAGCAGTCAGAGTGTATTGCCGTTTGAGCCGTGTGTTCTCCGCAAAATGCATCGGTGCCTTGGTCGAATCGGGTGTGATCGCACTCACATACATAATCATCATGTGCAATTGTATCTACGCGTGGTGTTGTTGTGTCTCATTTGAGCCCCACGTCTGAGTGTAGAACTCTGCCTTATGCCGCCCAGCTCACTCACTGCTTTACCTCAGTAGCAGCGTACAAGCAATCTCTCTAAGCGCGAACCTTCGGAGAAAACTGCTGTATAATAACTCCGGAAAAACCTGCTGGCATAACCTCGTGCGCCTGGCCTCGGATACCGTACAACGGAATGGCCTGCACTGCACCACACACACTCTACCCAAGTGAGTTGTACGCCCGGGGCCCCCCGAAGCGGCCTCCCCCCTCGCAGAAACACTCGCTTTACTCGCGGAGTCCCTCTGCAGAGCAAGGCATCGGAAGGCGTATGCATGGGGCAACATCAGTGTCTCCTGCACCACCTTCCAGGCAGGTGATACGGACAGCATGAGCCGCTTCATCAAATATGCATCGAATCTACTGGACGGCGTGGACAGCATAGCCAAAGACTCCCTCACGGACCAAGGTGTGCGTGGCAAGGGCGGAACAGCCTTCTATGAACAAGAGGGAGTAGTCTAGTTCAAGTACTAATGTCCGAGGCCACAGGCGTGCCATGCCCACCCTGGCCTCGACAGGTCGAGAGCACAAACAATACCGGACACGACCACCCATGATGGTAGCCTCACAGAGGGCTGAAACATTGTTTAGACCTAGTTGTTGACTGAGGCGCTTACAGTCTTTTGGTAGGTGCGGAATTGCGGCGTAACCTCAACACCCCCGTTCCCCCTTCTCATTCCGCGCTGTCTCTCTGCTCCTGCATCATGGCCGCGCAAAGCGGTCCCTCTAATGCTTTCGTTCGGGGTCACCGCGCGTGCTGTAGGTGTCCAGGGGGACGTTTGCGCTCGTGTTGCGTCTGTCAGCATGTATGGGGGCATGGGGGCGGTTGGGGTAATAATTTCTTGGTGTCAGTTTGGAGCATTGCTCCGCAGGAAGAAAGGCCAAGCCGGCTTTGTGCCGGCTTCTACTCTTCGATGCGTCACATGCATACCATGCATAGAACATGTGCCCACTAGTGCTTCACGTTGCGGTCGTCCACCCCTCGCCCAACCCTCTCCCCCTCCACCTACCAGACATAGCCGCCGCCGCCGCTGCTGAGCGCCGCCGCCGGCGCATGCAACTCAAGAGAGACCGATCCAGTCAACAATCCGGCGGCGGCGGCGGCGGCGGTATTGGCATCGCGGCGGAGCCATCGGAAGGCGACCTCTCGGCGGACAGCTCACAGCTCGGCACCCCGCGCGCCCGGGGGCGTGTCGCGCGCGCGCGCGCCTCCAGCGGGGTTGGTAGCGCCGGCGCCGGCCCGTACGCTAGCAGCGCTGGGACGCCCCGGCGGTACGGCGGCGGCGGCAGCTTCGACGACGGCGAGAGCACCGCCGATGAGTTGTACCACGGAGGGAGGGGAGAGGAGGCGGGGAACGACCAAGAAAAGAGGCGGCAGCAGCAGCAGCAGCAGCTCGAACCACCGTCCCTCACCGTCGGCACTGGATTTTCACCCGGGCCCCGGTCGAGAACAACAACATCTACACCACCAGCAGCAACAACAAGCGCAGCGGCGGGAACTACACCGCCGCCGGTAGCAGCCGTCCCAGTCACAGGAGCAGCGGGCCAGGAGGGAGTTTTTTCCACCGCCGCCGCCGCAGCCGCCGGGAGGGATGCTTCCGCGGGCGAGGAAGATGCGGTTCCGACTGCGGCAGCGGCGGCAGCAGCCACAACAGCAGCAGCGGAGGAAGCCGTCTCGACGCCGCCGCCGCCGCCGCCGCGATCGCAACACTCGGAGCACCACCGCTACCTGCTGCGCGAAGCCACGGGGCTGGCGGCGGGCGGGGGGGGGGCTCCCGGGAAGGAGGACGGCAGCGTCTGGTCCGACAAGGGCACGGTCTCTTCCGCGGCTCCGTCCCCGCTGGGGCGCGGCGGTGGCCACGGAGTCAGCTACGGCGATAACCGCGACAACGATGACGTCGGCGGCGGCGCCAGCAGCACAATCACCCCGCTGTCGCAGCGCCGCCCGCCGCCCCTAGAGGGCGGCTTCGTCGGAGGAGGAGGGACGCCGGGCGTGGTCGTCGTAGACGACGATGACGAGGAGGAGGGGGGGGCGTCCGTCAAGGCGAGTGCCTCGCGCGTTGGCGTGACCCTGTTCCCGGGGACAACCCCCCCCGGGCATCGTCACCGAGAGCAGCAGCAACAACAACTACCGCACCGGCGCCAGGAAAGCGGCGATGTTGATGCCGGGTCCGTTCCAAGCCCTCCGGACGCGGGCTATTCTTCTTCGGCGTCGGTGGCGGCGGCGGCGGCCGCCGCCAGTGGTGGTCGGGAGCGGCGAGGTCTCGGCGGGCTGTTGGGGATGGGCAGGGGGAACAAGGGGGCGGCGGGGAGGGGAAACAGGGACGGCGACGAGGAAGCGCTGAGGGCGGAGGCGGAGGACCTTCGGGCAGAGGTGGAGGAGCTCAGCCTAGAGCTGGAGGATGCAGAGGACAGGTATGGTAGGCGTGGGATCAAACGCGAAGTGGGCACACTTTGGACGTTGCTGGCGCAAGTAGGACCAACTCTTTGCCGAAAAATGAAATGTCGTTCAACTTAAAAGAGGGCTTCAACAACAGGGCGTGTTAGCACACGATTGTGGTTTTGGTTCCCCCTCTTCTTGCGGTACGGCACGAACGATACTTTGTCGCGACCGATGCAAGGACCGACTTGAACAACACCATGTGATATCTGGGTCTTCGTTGGGCGTCGCCCTCCTCAAGCCGCGCCCTCTCAGGGCTGCTGCCATCGCCGCCTCAACCAATAAACGCTCGTCTGCCTGATTATTTTTCTACTTGTTGTTCTCGCCTTGTTTCCATCTTGGTGATGGTGATGGACAACGCGCCAAGGTTGAGGGGGCAGGAGGCAGAGCTCAAGACCGGCGCGGAACAGCTCAAGAGGCAGAAAGTCGCGGCGGCGGAACGGCAGGTGCGAAAGTAGGGGTCCACGCAAGAACAACAGCAGGTGGTTGGTTGCCCCTTGGATGTTCAGTTGGTCCGGGTTTCGGACGCAAAAAAAACGCCCGGAGTGAAGAAGACCTGTACCACTCGCAAGTACCAATTTGGTCTTCTCGCATGGTGCTGCAGCGGCACCTATTTCCTCCTTTTTTCCCCGCCACCTAGCTGGCACCATATAATTTTGTTTTCATTCTCTCTGTATGCACTGCTGTGTGTATGTAACTCTTCAACAAATCCTTCGCAGCTTGTGTGTGTGTGTGTCGTCCCGTTAGTCCTGGACATCGATCAGCCTTTTCACACCTTTTGGTAAATTTTCTGCGCGAGCGCATAAGTGGGGGACACACACGAGGAAGGTCACACAGCAGTATTGTGTTTTTTAGGGGTGGGGTTGCGACCCTTTCAACGATTCACATTGTTTGCAAGATCAAGTACTTCACACGCCCCCCCCCCCCTCCCCCTCCGCCTTTGCCTTGTCGTGCCTTTGGGCCCTGTGCGCCGCCGTGGCTTGCTGTTCGACTCTGGTTTTGAAGAGGACGATGGAGGCGGAGATGGAACAGTTCCGCGTGCTGCAGCTGGAGGAGAAGAAAGTTTTCCTCAACAACCTGGAGGCGGCAGAACAAAAACTGCAGGAAAAGGAGCGAGATGCGGACGAAGTGAGTTCAATGGTGGAGGCTTCTTGTGGTGTAAGTGTGTGTGTGGGGGGGGGGGGGGA